TGCAACATGAAACCATCTGGTTCCCCCTTTGATGTGGTCCCCCCTCGACTCCTAAAGGAGGTTTTTCCTACTCTGGGTCCCTCTATTCTCGCTATTTTGAATAGCAGTTTATCCTCAGGTGTGGTGCCAAAAACTTGCTGCTGTCCAGCCCCTCCTGAAAAAACCCAACCATGACCCCTCAGTCATGTCCAACTTTCGGCCTGTCTCCAGACTCCCATTCACCTCTAAACTACTGGAAAAAATTGTGGAGTTTCGGTTGAAGTGCTTCTTAGAGGATCAGGCTATCCTAGAGTTATTCCAATCTGGCTTCAAATTTCTCCACAGCACTGAAACTGCTCTACTGAAGGTTTTTAACAACATTTTCCTAGCCACTGATGCAGGTGATTCTGTGCTGCTTGTCCTATTGGACCTTACATCTGCTTTCGACACAGTCGACCATGGGATCATCATTTCTAGACTGGAGCAGTGGGTGGGCATCACAGGGTCAGCCCTCAATTGGTTTAGGTCCTACCTCTCTGACAGAACCTTTTGTGTCAGTATCAAAGTGTGGTGGATGTTCCTGTCACCGACCACTGCTGTGTCTATTTTAATTTGTCTTTTAACCTCAACAGTTGTCCTCATAAAGTGATTTCTCAAAGGCGAATTATCAATCAAACTGCTGTTGAGAAATTCTCAGAATCTTTTGAGCCCAGTTGTTTTGCTAGTTGCAGTGATGCTGATTCCTTTGTGGAGTCTTTTAATAGTCACTGCCTGTCTGTCTTAGATAAGGTTGCTCCTGTAAAGCACAAAATATCCTCTCGTAAAAACTCTTGTCCTTGGAGAAATGAGGAAATTGTGTTGTTCAGAAGATCATGTCGTAAGGTAGAGCGTCTGTGGAAATCTACAAAACTTGAAGTCCACAGACTACACTTAAAGGAGCTGATCTCAACTCTAAATGAAATGATTAAACAGGCCAGGTCTGCATATTTTTCTAATCTTGTGAGTATGAACAAGAAAAATCCTAAAGTCTTGTTTGATACCATTAATAATATGGTTTCACCTTCACTCCCTCTGGTGCCTGCATTCACATCAGATGACTGCAATAGATTTTTAAACTATTTTGTGGAAAAGGTTGACAACATCAGGGCAAGTGTTAAATCAGATCTTGGTGTCACCCCCAGTTCTGTCCCTACAGTGAGCCCCTGGTCTTCATTTTCACCTGTCACTTTAGAGGATGTGAAGGTTGTTCTAAAAAAGATCAAACCTTCTTCCTGCATGCTAGATGTTGTACCCACATCACTGTTTTTAAAGATGTCTGATATTGTCAACCCCCATGTGGCAGAATTAATTAACATCTCTCTTTCAACCGGGTCAGTTCCAAGTTTTTTGAAACAAACGATTTTAAATCCCTGTCTCTCCGTGTGAACGTCTCTGTTGATTCTTTTAAAACGCAGCTTAAGACACTTTTATTTCGTCAAGCTTTTAGTTAAATGTTTTACTGTTTTTTCCAGCTGTTTTTACTGTTTTTATTAATGAGTTGTTATTATTTTTATTTTATTTTAAGCTTTTATTTCTTTATTGTTGTACAGCACTTTGTGATTGTATCTATGATAAGTGCTATATAAATAAAGTTTACTTACTTACTTACTTACAAAGATTTCAGTTCAGCATCGGCAGCACTTCAGTGGGGGGTACCGCAGGGGTCCATCCTCAGTCACCTTCTCTTTTCTTTATACCTGCTGCCACTAGGTGCTATTTTCCGCAATCACAACATACCATTTAATTTCTACGCCGATGACTGTCAAATTTACTTCCCCCTGAGGCACACGCTCTATTCAACCTCTTCTTGACTGCCTGGCTGACATACAGGATTGGATGGCTTTAAACTTCTTAAGTTTCACGAGAAGAAGTCATCTTGTTCCATCCCAATGGCACGTCCATGAACCACTGCATTGACCTTTCCTGTTAGTGAAACAAAGAGTCACCAATCTGGGAGTGATAATGGACCCTTCCTTAAAACTTAACAGTCATGTAAACATGATTGTTAAATCCTGTTGTTTTTTTTTGCAGCTGAGGTGGCTGTCTAAGCTGAAGCCCATACTGTCCAAAAAGAATCTTGAGACAGTGATCCATGCGTTCATAACATCCAGGCTCAATTACTGTAATGTGCTTCTGTTCAGAATCAGTCAGTCCTCCATTGCACGACTACAACTGGTCCAAAATGCTGCAGCCCGATTTTTAACTAGTACTGGCCATAGAGACCACATTACTCAAGTTTTGGCCTCGCTGCACTGGCTACCCATTCACCTTCGGATCCAGTTCAAAATACTCATGTATGTTTTCAAATCACTGAACAGTTCCGCCCCATCCTATCTCACTGATCTTCTGCAGCCATATGTCCCACCGCGCTCTCTGAGTTAAGCAGACCAGATGCAGGAACCCGTCGTAAGCTCAGAGGTGACAGGGCTTTCTCTGTTGCAGGTCCAAGACAGTGGAATGAGTTGCCACTGCGTGTCAGGCAGGCTCCCACACTCACAGTCTTTAAGTCTCGCCTAAAAACCCACTTTTATTCCCGTGCCTTTGACACGGTGTGATTTGTTTTGATCCTGTCTGGAGTCTACAGTGTTGGCCATTTAGTTATTATCCACTGCTATTTGTATCTTTATTTTTATTTTATGTTTTCCTGTCCGCTGTGCTTGTTTGTTTCTATTGTACAGCACTTCGGTTTGCCTTGTTGATGTTTTAAGTGCTCTATAAATAAATTGGTTTGGTTTTTTAGTACTGTGCAGCGTCAGTGAGTATCCTGCTTGCTGTGGTTGTGTGCAGACAGAAGTTTACTGCTGATCATCTGTTACTGATGAGATGTTAAAAAGTTTAATTGCAAATGGCGGACAAAACTTCCTGAGGCAGTGAAGCTGAGTGAGTCTGCTGGAAAGGAGCTTGGCTGCCTTTATAGGGTGTCATGGAGGGGATGGGACAATTTGTCCATGATGGACAGCAGTTTCTCCAGTGAGCTCAGTGACATCATGTTGGATGATGGACAGCTGGGAGGAGCAGGACTCCAGGTGAGCTGAAGTGTCATGTCAGGGGAACTAGTCGACAAATGGTCCAATATCTGAGCTCACCTCCAGGATGATGAGGACACGCCCACCGGCCAGTGACATCAGCATGTGTGTGAGGTGGGCGTATCCCTCTGGAGACACATGATATCCACCCAATGGATCACCTCGAGCAGCATCAAACCCGGCCGACACCAGAACCAGACCTGGGTTAAACTGCAGAGAAAACATCAATGAGTCAGCTTAGTAAAGTCCAGTGAGTGACAGGTGACTTCAGTGATTAACAAACTGATTACTGATTAATGATCAGAACCGGTTCTGAGCAGGGTTCTAAGAAGGTGGAGTTACCTCTGTGGCAATCGGCATAACAACATGGTGAAAAGCTGCGAGGTAGTCAGAGTCGCCCATTCGTCCTCCACACCATGCCACATTCACATTGTACCCCGCCCCTTTGGCCACGCCCACCCTGTTAGAGGCGGCATCTTCTGAATGTGGGAAGAATGTTGCGTTGTCATAGCGATGGAGGGAGATGTACAGAACGCTGCGGACAGAGACAGAGTCAGACAAAAGACTCCTCTTGCTCAACTCGCTCGTCCAGCTTTTCACCTGTCATCATCTTCAAACAGGTGCTGCGTCCCGTTGCCATGGTGAACGTCCCAGTCCAGGATCAGGACTCGAAGCAGGGTATCAGGGGAAACTTTTTGTGCATAGCGTGCAGCGAGTGCCGTGGAGTTGAAGAGACAGAAACCACAGGCAGCGTCTCTCTCAGCATGATGACCTGGAGGTCGAACGATGGCCACGGCGTTACTCACCTGCAGGGAAGACACACAACCACCAGGTGGCAATGTTAGCCTGTTGCTCACCTTCTGTTAGCCTGAGCTGGATCTGAAGTTAGTTTAAGGTTAGCATCAGTGGTTAATTTGAGCCGGATCCTGCCGGAACAAGAGCCAGGAACTCTCATTTTGACCCGTTCTGTTCCGGCAACTCTGTCAACTCCGCCCCTAAAAATTAAAAGTCATTGCGCATTTTAATTTGAATTATTTGTTAAAAAATACAATAAGAGGAGATGTTGCCCTCAGCCCGGCGGACCCAGTCCGTGGATATTCCAGCAGCAGCACACGTGGCGCACCAGCTACATGCTCCTTCGAGGAGCAGGAGAGGAGCTTCCAAGCTGGGGGGTGGGGGGTGAGGACGGAGGGACTTGTAGTTCGCCTGTTGTTAGCTTGTAGTTAGCCTGTTGTTAGCTTGTAGTTAGCC